AAAAAAAAAAGTTGGGCTGTGGATAAGTAAGACCTGCAAAGCCGACGCCTTTGTTGGATCTGTTGGGGAAAACGAGGGACAGTGCCATGGGCTGAAAAGCCTGTGGCGCACAGCGTGGGCACATCCGTGCTGTGAAAAGCCTGTGGAGCAGAGTGGGCACGTCCGTGCTGTGAAAAGCCTGTGGAGCAGAGTGGGCACGTCCGTGCTGTGAAAAGCCTGTGGAGCACAGTGTGGGCACGTCCGTGCTGGAAGACGCAGCCGGAGCGCTCCTGGGAAAGGCGGCTGGTGTCACGTGCTGTGCGCACGTCATCAGGAGGGGCCGGCCCTGGTAGAGCAGAGAGTCGGTGAAGAGGAGGAAGACCTTCGATGAGATGGAGGGACACCGAGGCTGCAGCAATGGGTCCCACAGAAGACAACTGTGAGGATGGCGCAGCACTGGGCAGTGTCTGCCCCTGCTGTACAGGGTCGCCATGAGTTGTAACTGACTCGGGGACACCTAACGCCGCCACCACCTTTAATTATGACCCTCTTTGGAAATAAAGGTTTTCTTTTGCTACATGAAGGAGGCCATAACAGAGTGGACAGATCCCTGTAGTTAAGACACTGAGCTGTTAACCACAAGGTCAGCAGTTCAAATCCACCAGATGAGGCTGAGTGATGTAGTTTCTGACATGCTTGTTTTTGTTTTGGGGGTGCGGGGTGGGGTAGGATGGGTCTTTAACCTACTCTCTTCTGGGGAGTTTCTGTAAAAACTGAGGAACAGACACAGACGTCCAGAGGGCGAAGACGCCATGCGGCCAAACTCCCATGAATGCCCGGGCTGGCAGCAGCTGCAGGCCACTGAGGAGTCTGTAGCGTATCGGTTACATCTTAGACTACAAACCTCGAAGTCAGCAGTTGAAAACCACCAGCAAGAGGCTTTTGACTCCCGTGAAGAGTGACCGTCCTGGAAGCCCACAGGGGCACTTCTACTCTGTCCTATAGGGTTGCTTTGAGTCAGGAGTGGCTCAGCGGCAGTAATTGGGTAGAGCTGGACACTGAGGAGACCAAGAAGGGGCCTCCCCTAGAGCTGGACTCTAGCCTCCAAACCCGTGAGTCACGAAGGCCTATCCTCCACAAGCTACCACTTGGGTAGTGCAGTTGTTGTTCCAGCAACACTAGGGTACAAAGGCAATGCTGGAGTGTCTACTCAGTCATCAGCCAGAGACGTGTTCAGGGGCACACACTGGCCAGAGGCTGCCACGGCAGCAGAATGGGTTAATGTGCCTGGTGTCTCACCAGGGAGAGTACCTACTGCAGGGCTAGGAACGGCATCAGCTGTAGGGACGAGGCCACAAGCACAGCTGCGCTCTCATTTAAATGAAGGTCAAAACCAGGCCGGCCTCCAGTGCTTAAGAACAAATGCTCCCAGAGCACCACTGCCATCGGGTGGTTCCGACTCCGAGTGACCCTGTGGGGGGAGACATGAGAGGGGCTCTCCAGGGTTGTTGAGGCTGTAAATCTTTGCAGAAGGGAGGGCAGGGGAGGGGGTGGGAATCAGGCAGAGCGGGCAGGGAGCCAGCCTCATTAGTCAGGTCAGTCCAGCTGGCGGGGGGTAGTGGGGGGGGGGGTTCAAATTGCGGACTTGTGGTCAAGAACCCAGCTCACACTGGGTCACACCTCCAAGGCTCCCCAAGTTCTTGTAAAGGTGGAAAGACCAGGAAGAGGAAATCCCAGTGAAAGCCAGGGCGGGGAGACGGGGACAGGAGACAGGGGAGGAAGAGGAGGAGGGGAGGCAGGCGGTTAGGGGGAGGTGGGAGGCAGAGAGAGCCAGGATGCCCCCCACAAGGGTGCTACAGGTGCTGGCTGCAGCGTGCTCTCCAGATTGCACCCACTCTCCCGAGGGCACTTGGGAGTTAGCACCTGTCCACGAGTGCACGTCACGATAAGATTAGTATGAGAGGGGTAAGCGGAAGTCATGTCCAGACTGCTTCAAAATCCATGTGGAATGCGTGCTGGGCGGGCCCCGGAGCGTTTTAGGGGAGCAGCACCTTCGTGGCTGCCAGAAGTGAAGAGGGAGGGGCCGTGGGGCTTGGTGCCCAGCGAGATGACCAGCTCTGAATCTAAGTCTTGGCCACTCCGTGTGTCACAGTAGAACTGTGCTCCACAGGGTCCTCACTAACTGATTTCTTAGACACGGATCGCCAGGCCTTTCTTCCGGGGTGCCTCTGGGTGGACTGGAGCCACCACCCTTTTCGGTTAACAGCCGGGTGCATTAACCAGGAGCACCCATCAGGGACTCTAGTCTTGTAACCACGATGGCAGATTGCACAGGGGGCACAGAGGAGTGTTCCTGTCGGCCCCACGGAAGGGGGGAGCAGGATAGTGGCCACACTGCCTGTCCTCAGGGGGACTGGGCAGCAGGAGCCACCACCACCACCCCCAGCAGTGCCCGGCGTGACGTGGCAGTACCTCTCGGAGGCGATCGCTCCTCAGCTCCTCCAGAAGTTCCTCCTCAAACTTCTCCAGCGAGGGGTACAGGTTGACGAACAAATCGTCCAGGTACCAGGTGACAGACGTGTGGAGGCGAGGCTTTCGAAGGGCGTCACCTGAAGCAACGAGAGGTTACCCCCAAGATGGCTCAGTCACAGGAGGTCTCGGCCCAGGTGGAGGGCCACAGGCAACCGCAGGGCACATACCCAGCCAGGCGCTAAATTACAGGGCTACACAGATTAAACAAATGCAAATTCTCCTGGCAGGTCCAAATCTACCTCAGGGAATGAATTTTAGAATCGGGCAATCCAGAGAACCCGGATTACAAAATGCAAAGCAGCATGTGTGCGCCCTGACCCTCCCTCCCCAAGAACACGGCCCACTGCCTCGTCGCAGGTTTGCTCCAGTTGGCCCAGGAACGCACCGGAATATGCAGCAGGGATTCAGAAAACTCCTGGGAAACATCCATCCTCTTTAAACCCTTTTCACATGCCTTTTAAAGCCCTCTCATAGTAGGGCAACCACCAGCCAAAGCACAGCTTGGGCTGGAGCCCCACAAGGCAAAGGCCCTGTCCTGATGAGAACCCCCCACACCTCCCCGACTGTGTGCTCCTGGGGGAGCAGAGCAGGCACCTGCGAGGGTGAGATGGCTCTGGACACAGTAGCCTACAGGAGGAAGCAAGCCAGCCAACAGCTCCCCAGTGACCACTGAGCCTCTGGAGTCTGACTCCCACTTCCCCACCGCCCCCATCTCTCCAGGACTGCCCCTAGCGTTGTCTCCCCCGGCGTTCCCAGGAGTGCGTAAATATTTAGATATATTGGGTCTTAGATTTTAAAAGCCAATTCCAGGGTATAAAGGAAAAGAAAAGTTGACCTAAAACTCGAAGCTGGAGAAATCACAGCAAAAAGAACACCCTGTTACAAAACAAACAGTCAAACTCACTGGTGTGGAGTCAGTTGTAGGGAAAGCCTCATCTTTCTCCAGAGGAGAGTCTGGTGGTTTTGAACTGCTGACCCTACCTATGTTAGCAGCCCAACACATAACACACACCGCCAGGGTAGAGGAAGGTGTAAAAGCCCAAGCAGCTGTCTGTTCAACGCCCACCTCTCCGCCGGGTCCCCGGCCCTGTGCAGCATGGCGGCACTGCCTCAGAAGGGCTCATTACAGCTGGGAAACCAGCAAGTGAGCGAGAGGAGGGGAAGAAGCAGGAGGAGGAGGCAAAAGCACTGTGCTCAACCCACTGTGGCTGCAAGGAGCAGTACGCAGCAGCGTCCCAGGGTGTGTTAAGTAAGCCAACAGCCAACAAGTGAACACCACCCCAGGGTCTGTCCACTGAGGAGCAGCTAAATACAACATGGTCTGTGCATGCGGACATGGGATTGTTATTCATTTCTAACAAGAAACGCCGTCCTGACCCAGGATGCTGAGCTTGATGCCAAGCAAAAGGTCAGGTGCTACACGGTCCCAAGTCTATGAGACACCTCAAGAAGACAAGTGCAGACAGGGAAAGGCAGTTTTGTTTCTGTTTGGGGGGATGGACACATTCTGCAAGTAGGCATGGGTGACGGTGGCACAGCATCATGAACACGACGCTCCCAAATTACACACCACGTGCTTAAGACAGCAGCTTTGTTCTGTTGTAGCCCAGTATCTTTTCATGGTACATTTTGTATGTACAGTCCCACAGTCATTTTTTGCTTTGTTTTGTTTTTAAATCAGATCACCTCCCCCAGCAACAGTGGGTTCTCGGCCAGCAAGGGCACAGATCGGAAGCGGGAGGGTGGCCAAGGCGTGGGCAGGGCGGGGCTCGGGGGTGCAGTGGCACCTCCAGCTGCTCAGGGAGGATTCCCCAGCAGAGCAGAGCCAGGAAACCCCTGGTGCTGGGGGGGAAAGGGGGGAGGGCACCGTGCCCGAGGCTGGCCGGAGTACCTGCTCCAGTCAGCTAAGTGAAAAAGAAAAAGACACCAGGAGGTAGGCTTGCGATCTCTCTACTTTGGAAGTCTCTGGTTTTCTGGCAAGGATCGAACCACCGTATCCTCCAGGCTACTCCATGTGCAGCCCAGGGCAACCACGGTGGGCTGCAGGCCCCTGCAGCAAGGCTGGGGGCAGCGTGGACAGAGCCTTTCCTGAGACTCTGGCCTGTGGCTGCGGACACTGCTCACTAGCCTGCCTCGGTTAGGCATTCACTCTTCAGTCTTCGAGATGCTGAGCCAAGAGAGAGTGCGGCCTGGCAGGAGCCCGGTTCTTCCTGCACAGCCAACAGAGCCACCGGGAGGAGAGGTCAAGAAGCAGGTTCCGGCGCAACTCAGAAAAGACCGCTCACAGCAGGTTCGTTCAGGAGACCAGGCTTGCTGGTGGGATGGAGACTGGTGGGACCCCAGACTCTGGTCCTTGGTCTCCCCCTTCAGGTCTGGCAGGGAAACCACACACAGCGTGTTAGGATAAATGAAGACTTAGGGTCCTGCGGGGCAGCACTCACCCAGGGCAGAGTTGAGAGGGTCAGGACAGGAGGAGGGAGGGAAGAGGGAACCCTGGGAGGAAGTGGGGCGCGTGATGGCACCCTGGGGACTGCAGTGGATGCCCGAAACAAACGCATGCAGATCAGCTCTTTGAGTGTAAAACGGAAGATCTGGCCTGTGAGCCTTCACCTACAACACATACAAAGTTTTAAAAAAAAAAACCATTCGTGATTCTGAAGATAGCTCAGAGGCTGATGCGGAGGCCTGGCCCATCCTTCTCATCACTCCCACACACGTCTGTGAGGGCAGGCCCCGGGGCTGCTGCCACCAGTGTGCAGAGACAAATACATAGGCAGCAGGTCAGGCCACCACTCCCCCCTCTGGGCTTCTGGCTTCTTCCTCCACCAGACTTCCATCGGCAGGCCGCTGAGCCTTCGTTCAACCAGCAGCCAGGGCAAGAAGCTGCAGCCTGGAGCGAGCCTTCTACTCCATGGCTGGACCCTGCTTCAGCTGGGTCAAGCGTGGTCAGGCTTGGCTGCAGCTCCAGCAACAGTCCTGCTCAGGTGGGAGCACACAGCCCCCTCTCACACCTCAGCTCATGCTGGGGGTCCCGGGAAGGGGCTGCAGAGAAATGGGGATCTGGCAAGCTTTCAACCAGCCAGAACCCCCTGCATAGTGATGCCCGTAGGTGATGTGCAGGGGGACACACTGTAATGCCCATGGGGCCTCACAGGAAGCGGCTCCACCACAGTATGAAGATGGGACTCAGCCCGGACACATCTCACCTCACGGAGAACCACAGAACAAAGACCAAGTTCAGGGACCCTGCAGGCAGGCATGAAGGAAAAGGTGAGTGAGTGAGGGCCTAAGGCGTTTCTAAACGGCGTGCCTGGCCAAGACCCCACGAGGCCCTCTTCCAATGTCTCCTTCACTCAAGGCTGCTTGAGCTGGCCCCATGAGCTGGCCCAGCAGTCCCCCACCTCTCCTTCCCGGAGCCCTGGCATGGCCTCCCTCCTGGCAGACAGTGGGTCTCTCGAACCAGCCGCCAACTTGGGAGCTAACTGAGCTGGACCTTGGATGCCCAGGCTGCTTAAACCACCGGAAAAGGTCAAACCACTTCCAGAGGCTCATACACGGCCAGAGGACTGGCTCAAGAGCCACCAAGTACGAGGACCCGACCCACCTCCTCTAAGGAGCCTTTACCCATCACTCCATGAGGACAACTCAGTCCTCACCTAAACGCACCTGGGCAGGCTGGGGCCACCTGGAGGCAGCTTGGATCAATGTCAACACCCTGGTGGAGATGTTGAACGGGAGCTGTGCCACACCCCGACCCCAGGGACCCAGGGAGGTCCAGGGTCCTCTCAGTGTGTGTATATTACAATGGCAGGTGAACCCAAAAAGCTAAGAAAAACCCAACCCACCTCACCATGGCATTTAACAACCAAACCACCAGCCAAATCGCAGTGGGACACCAAAACAAAGCCTAACCCGCTGTCGTCAGAGCGGGAATACCATCGGCTGCCGAAGCAGGGAGCTGGCCCCGGGCTGGCCTTCCAGGGCCGTAAATTGTCATCCAGTAAAGAAACTATTTTGCAGGAGTGAGCTGCAATGCCACGAGCTCGGAGGCAGTGTTTACAGCCGAGTTGGAAGTGGGCATGGAGCCGCTCGGCTCACCAGTCATACTTTAAGGGCACCTTTGGGGAGGGCTGAGTGAAATGGCTCCGGAATGGCGCCCCAGGGAGTGGGTGAAAATGTGCTTCTGCCCGGCTTCCTTCCCTCCTCTGCCGGGTCAGCACATGCTCCTGAGAAAGCTAGTGCCCACACCCGCTCCGCTCTCTCGGCCCACTCGTTAGCTGTTCAGCAATAGCTACACAGACTGTGGTGCGTTTGGGGGCATCACTGGCTCACTTATGGCCCACCAGCAGGCGGGCGCAAGGGAGGCTTGGGGTTCTGTTTAAACTCAAAACCCCACGAGCGCCTCCTGGTGACCTGCACCACCCTGCTGGTGTCAGAGCCGACACGTAAGACATGGCTGTGGAGCGGCTGTACCATGACAGCCACAGAGAAAAGAGCCACCGTCAAGTGTCTTTCTATTCCATGTGTCCTTCTACTGACACTCGTCAGCAAGTCACACACTTGGCGACCTGTCCCTCCCCTGCGAGCACCTAGAGCCCCTCTGAGCACCTAGAACACCAGGTAAGACAGGCTTCCCCACACTGCCTCTACAGCAAGGCTGTGCCCAGGTTCTATCACAGTGGGGCTGGCCTACCGTGGCCGACGGGCTGAAGCTGGAGTCGCGTCACTCAGCTCCCAAGAGCAGCAGTGACAAAGCTGTACAACATCCTCCCCTATTTCGGGAGAACGCAGGAAAACTACAGAGGGCCCAGTGACCTCCTGAAGCAGGTCCCCAGCACAGGGTGGACGTCCCCTTCCCCCAGGATTCCCAGAGCGCTCCTGCCCGAGTAATGTGTCACCTGTCGCCCCCCTGCCACCACTCCACTGCGAGAAGAGAGCCCAGTGACGACAATCGGGACCCGTCCAGGAAACCTAGGGAGTCAAGCAGCACCTGAGCCCAGCATGAGCAGGTGGCATGGCATCCCGGCAGAGTGGGCACCGCCCAGCACAAATGCTCCACCCTGGGGCTCAGCAGAGGCTGCCTTCTCTTCAGAGCCAGCCCGCCTGAGAAACAGGGGAGTGGGGAACAAGACCAGGCAGGTGGGGAAGGGGTGGGGCAAGGAGGAGAGCCCAGGAGAGAGCCTCCTGGTCAGTCAAGGGGCCATGCCCTACCAAGGTGTTTCTAGAAGCCCCACCTCCACAGAGCCCTCTGCCTCCCATGGGAGTGCCTCTCGGTTAAAACAGCCTCCACATGAGGCAGAGACCAAGCAGCAGGGTTTCCTGGCCTCACGCATGGAAACAGGAACTGCGGACTCCAGGGGCCTGTGGGGTGCTTCCGGGCACCAGCACACCCTCCCCACCACAACACCCGCCACGCTGAGAGGCATCCTCCCCGACCACAACCAGCCCACGTCCCCACCCCCGATAGAGGAGAGAAAGGAGCCCTTACCTGCTTCCCCTCCGTGCGCTGGCAGGAGACCAGGGATACACTGGGAGCCAGACAGCAGGAGGTTCTCGGGGAGGAGGTGGAGCACTGGCTGGAGGGCCGGGTGGGGCCGGAGGGTGTACTGCAGGCTGCAGCCCTCCAGCACAGTCAGGTGCCTGTTTTCTGGGAGAGGGTACACTACATGAGAGCGGAGGCCGAAGGCTCCTTCTGACAGCTCAGCTGATGAGCTGGGAGTCTCAGAAACACCACAAACAGAACAGATGCTCTGCTAGAGAGAGGGAAATTGCTCTGTTATTTCAGCCTGAAAGGAAGGGGAACCCGACCCTAATAACGCTCTGGTAGCACCGCGATGAAAGAAATCAGTTTCTAATCCAGCCGAACAGTTATCTCTCCGGTTCCCTTCCTGAGTGGCCAGGCCAACGACAGGTATAGGGCCATTGCAGGGAGACTGGAGAGTGCCTGCGCCCAGAGGCCCACACACCAAGTCCTCCTGCCCTCCGCTGAGGCCAAGCTGGCCTGAGGCCCGGAGTGTCCTGTGGCTGGAGCCCCCAGGGGTCGGCATGACAGCACACCTTCCACATGGAGGGCTCAGAGAACAGGCTCCTGCTCAGGTAACTCCCACACCTCCAGGCCCGCCCTGCTTTCTGCCGGCTCAGAGGAGCCGCTCACGGCATCACTGTCCTGCTTGGAATCTGACTCACTGCAGACCTCCAGGGTGGAAAAACCACTGCCATGCAGTCGATTTTGACTCAAAGGCCCCTACAGGACAGAGGGGAACTGCCCCACAGGGTTTCGGAGACTAAATCTCGACAGGAGCAGACAGCCTTCACCGTCTCCCGAGGAGCAGCTGCTGGCCTTGAACCGCCAACATTGCAGCTCGCAGCCTGATGCTGAACCCACAGCTCCCAGGGCTCCTGCCAGGGGAGCAGCAGCCTCTGAACAAATGCAAAGTGGCTGTGAACAACTCAATAGTGCACCTTCGTGAGCAGCTGGTCCTGGCCCCGTTCTGGACCCTCCTGCTGTGGCCCTGTAGCCCCTCCTTCTCCTCCAGGGAGGCCCCCGGGGCTGGCCTTTCCCAGGGTGCTCATGGGAACCCAGACTGAGCACAGGAGCAGGTCAGGGCAGAAAGGGCTCCCTATGGGGCTCCTGCTCTCCAAGCCACTAACAGGAGTGGATTTCTCCACACCAGCTCCCTCAGAGGGCAAGGTTCTCCCGGGAAAGGCACAGGCAGGGGCCAGAGCCGCACAGTCTCCTAGGGACAGGTATGAGTGGGCATTGTCCCGCCCAGCTGGGAGCCACCTCCTCGGTCTGCTGGCCCCACTGGAAGTGCCAACAGGCTTCAGCGCCAAGGTCTCATTCAGGTAGCTGGGGCCTATGACAGGCAGGTGGACAAGAGGACCGCCCCCTCACCCCTGTGGCCCCCCTGTTCCTCCTCACAAAGCAATGCCCGCCTTCCTGGTGACTGTGCCTTCTGTACACCTTCGAACCAGGCCCGAACTCTGAGCCCATGAGACACGCTACCCAGACCCAAATTCCAAGCTGCCGCTGGCTTTTGTAGAGAGACGACAAGTCAGAGGTAACGGTGGGTGGTGTTCACGGGAGCTATGCGGCCAGCAGGTGCCTCAGGCCCCCCATCAGGCCAGGCCTGCTCTTACGTTCTATGGGGTCCTGGAGCAGCGGGTGCAGGAGGGCTCTGGGGGTGCCATGATACAGCCTCAGCCTGGAAAACAAGAGCCATCGGCACACATCAGCTGTCGGCACCCTGTGTTTAAGACCCCGACCTCTGTGGGACTTGTTCCCACAGAAAGCAGGTGGTCTCCCCCACTGCCATACCCACGTGCGGGCTCAGTGCTGCACAACCACGTCCCCTGTAGGAAGGGGCTCCCGGCCACAGCACAGCACAGCACACACGCAGTGCTGGCCCAGCGCAGGCCCAAACCTGGAGCCAGAAGCCCCACCCAGAAAACCCACAAGACTTGCAGGCATCCCAGGAAGACCGTGCTGACGGCACTTCCTTGTGGTTGTGGATCTGGCAGGTGCGTAAAGATTCAGGGGTGCTTTGCCCTCAACGGGTTCCCGAATCGTTACCAGAAAGGACAAGTAAAGCAAAATGGGGTGTTTTCCCAAGTACCCCCTAGGACAGGAGGGCTATTTACACAGTCAGATCACAGTCAAGGTCACCGGCCCAGTTTAGGATCCCCAACCTCCCCGGTAGCTCAAGGCGGGTGGCTCTGCCCTCTTGGGGATAGGTGGTAGTACTTGGAGGCTTTTCTGACCATCAGAACAGAGGCTGGTTGGACTGGCTTCTAAAGGAAGAGGCCAGGGTTGCTGCCCCTCCCATCAAAGATTTAGCCAGCCCAAAAGGTCAGTCATGACAAGCAGAAGAAACTCTAACCTGGTGAGCTAACAGACACTTTTGCCTGGGCTAATTAATGACATGTTCTCTCGTCCATCTTTGCAGGCCCAGCTGACACAGAGCCTTGCCCAGAACAGGGGCTCATCCAGTGGCCAGCAGCTCACTGTTGCTGCTTACGGGCCAGCTCGATAGAAAATACGACTGAATGCCCAAGAATAAGGTGGGTATCGCACCCCTACCTCCCAGATGAGTGGATTCAGAGCCAAACAATTTTTTAAAAACTTGTCAGAAATCACACAGCTAGAGCCAGGGCTTGACCTCATGCCCATCCTATGTCAAACCCAATGCCCACACCCAAGAGTTAGTGCCCGGTCTGGAAGACAAAGCAATTCCTTGGCTTCCATAGAAAAGGCAAACCCCATTAGAACCCCAACAAACCACCGGCCTCGCGGCATATGAACAACACAGGCTGAAAACCCGATTGCTTTCTATTGCCTCCAAGTGATCAGCAAGTCAACCCCCTGAGAGAGGGGGGGGCCTGAAAGGTCCCACAGGAGGAGGATACCGTTTGTCCTGGGAAACCGAGGTCGGAGACTCTGGCTTGGACTTGAAGAGCTGAAGAATTCCAAACCCGCAGGACGATGTCTGGAGGGTGCCGTCCCGCTTCCGGCCTTCGCTGACCACTTCTACCACGGCCACAATGTTGGGGTGGTTTAAGGACGTGTGAAAATACACGGGCTGCAAAACAGAAACCGCAGGACGGAGGCTCAGGGACAGACTGCAGAGAAGGGACACAGAAAGGACTGGGATGCCGCCTTGCCTTCACCCCAGCACCCAATGTGCGGTTTCACACGGTACACGTTTGGACTGCGATGCGCATGGTCGGCAGTTCAAAATCACCAGCAGCTCCGTGGGAGAACGACTGGGCTTCCCACTGCTGGAAACCCTGATGGTCTTAGAACCCAGTTGGGGGGGGAGGGGCGGCAGGAGAGGGGTCGCTATGAGTCCACATGGACTCGATGGCAGTGTGTGTGCAGTTCGATTGATGTCTGCTTCAAATGATGAGGGATAGGCTGTGAAACTGCATGACACAGGTTTTTCCTTTATGTATTTCCTTTATGTATTTTTCCAAAATACATAAAGTTGAAAAATAGTAAGTGCCATGACAACTGGCCCGTCCTGACTCAACCCCCCACCCCCACCCAACTTTCTGTGTTCTCCTCATGAGGTGCCGCCTCAACGGACAGTGCTGACGCTGCCAAGGGCCCTTCCATCTCTTCAGATGCCCCAGGATGACCCCCAACTCAGATCCCAACACACACCTCCCCAGTGAAAACCAACTTGGGACCACGTGATTGTGAGAGTCAACGTAAGGCAGAAGAAATTCAAGCTGGCCTCTGGGGCTCCCCAGACCTGGGCGGTGCACATGGCTGCCCTGCTCGGCAGCTAATCCCAAGGGTGGAAGGTCCAGACCACCCAGGGGCACCTCGAAGGAGAAGTGGAAACCTTCTGGGGTCGCGTGAGTCAGGGGCCACTGCATAGCCACGTGTCTCTTTGGGTTACCGTGGAAATGGGAGCGGCTCCAATCCTCCGCTTTCCTGCTGGTCACCAGCAGAGGGGACGTCTGGAAAGGCAGCCCAGGGGGACCCACCATCCCTGTGTCTCTAACAGGTCTGCCCCCGGTCTGGGTGTGCAACCCCCTCCCCTTTGAGCAGCTCTTTTCCACCCCTCAACCAGAGGCCGCTGCTTCTGTTTAAGACCGATAGAGACGATGCAAACAGTCACTGACCGTAAATCATGAAGGAGCCGAGTCCATAGGCACTCGAGGGAGCACCGCTGTGCCAGTGGCTCCCCACTCAAGGGTCCTCCTAGCTGGCCAGCAGGCTGGGGCGGGGCACAGGCCTACCAGCTCAGTACCAAGGATGCCCAGCTCCCAGCCCTTAGTCCCAACCCAAGGTGGCAAGAGTGAAGGCCTGGCCGAGGCTGCATGTGACTTCAATGTGGACTAACCCTCCCATTAACAAATCATAACCAGTGTCACCCAGAAAACGTTTACCATAATCACAGACTGTCAGCCGGGATAACAGAGAGACACGTTAAAACATCAGTCGCCAGATATCAATCGTTATTCTATTATCTTTTATTGTGCAATGATGAAATAACGACCACTTACAGCTGACAGGTGGTTGGACTAAGAGAGAAATATGTTTCTGTTTCCAAGTGCTGAGAAGGGCTTTGGAAAGGCCAGCAACAAAGCTGGGCGCTCATAGCTCACCTGTCGGACTGGTCTCTGTGCAGCTCAGTCCTCGGCCCACTGCCCACTTGTTCTGGGCAGTGCCACCAGCACTGGGAGCTCCGATGTGAGCCTCTGACAGCCCACAGCTGAGGGCTCTGCCCAAGACAGAGGGACCCACCACTCTCCCAAGTTTGGATTTGGGGCTGCTGCCCTTCCTTGGCATTTACCAAAACATCTCCCCCCCCTCACCACCCCCCACCTCCAAAACAAACACAGCGCCCAGTGGTGCCTGTCCCAGCTGGTCCAGCTCCGCGTCTCCAGGGGCCATCGTTCAGTAAGAGCCGGCTGCTGGGTGCAGAGCGCACGTGTTACAAGGTTCCCCGGGGTTCAGCGCTGCTCTGTGCTTACTCACAGGGAGGGAACATGCTGTTCTCCAAGTCACTCGCGGACCCCAGTGTGGGAACAGCTCCTGCTGATGGAGCCATAAGAAGCCATGGACACATGAAGCTGCCTTCAAAGGCTGAAGGATGGATGAAAACTAAGTCAGACCAGTGGTTGGTGAGTGGCCCCCTGCTCATGGGACACCTGTGCTCCACAGGGTCCCAGCAGCTGGCTTCTCAGAAGTCACCTCGCCAGGCCTTTCTTCAGAGGAGGCCAGATCAGGCACAAACGAAAGCACACAAACCCTGCTCAGGGCGGAACACCTTCCCAGTCCCGTGGCAGCAAAAGCCTAAAGCCACTGAGGCAGACACACTGTCACATCCCTGATCCAGCTACCCCAAGTCAGCCACTGAGCACCACCGCGGGACAGAGCCACCTGGCCGCTAGCACCCCCAGGAGGGCACAGCCCACCAGCTCTGACCCTGCGGAAGCTGGGCATCACCTTCCCACCTGGCCAGCCCGGAAAAAGGGCCCCAGTGAGGCCTGGCTCCAGGCGGTCCCTCGGTGTACAGAGATTTCATTAGTGGCCACACAGGACGTTGGAGAGAAATCTATTCGTCACCTGAAACTTCTTGATTAAAAGTTTAACTGCTGACCAGCAAACTGCCTGCGAGGGGAGGTCGGTGGCTGAAGAGCCGGGGTCTCTTTCCCTACACCACCGTCCCTCGCCAACTGGGAATCCATCCTGGAAATGCTTCTCATCATCTCCAGCGGGCACTGACACCACTCTGCCTCGGGGCCCAGGGACACTTGTCATCCACAGGGACACACTCAGAAATGGGCCTGTGATGACGAGCCTTTCTGGACAAGTGACAGTCGCGTCCATCTAGCTCCCCAGCCGTTCTCCCTGCCCGCCAAGGGGACGCCTTCCCCAGTCCCAGGAGAGGGCCAGGTGGGAGGCCAGGCCAGGGAAGAGTGAGTGGAGCAGAAAGCAAATGGGAGCCTTCCAAAGAGCGTTTGTAGAGGAAACCTTGAACCTGACACCTTCAGAAGGACCAAGAATTCACCCATCAGCCAGAGCAGCTTCCGCAGCAGTTCCCCGGGGCACACTCCCATTGGAAGGCTGCACCTCCCCGTGCCCGTGAACCGGGACCAAAAATACTCCTTCAGCAACCCCAATATCTCCATCTCCAAAGTCAGAGGCTCCAGCACATCCTGGATGGACCCCCATCACCCACATCAAAACAACAAAGGGACGAGGTGGTACCCCACCACCAACGATGACCAGGGTGTGCACAGGGCTGCGTCTGAGAAGGGTTGAGACCAGTAACGTGAACTTCAGCCTGGGTCAAAACTATGACACATCATCTCACCCATCTTTGCACAGAGCCTGGCTCGTGGCAGATGTTCAAGCAGCGCTTCTTAAGTAAAAGCCTACTGCTCATGAAAAAAAATCATTAATGAATGCTCAAGGGACTCTTAGGAGATGGGTGTTATATCCCTGCTGGGCAAGTGAGTAAACTCGGGGCCCCCAAGGAGTAAATAACTTGCCTACAATCACGCAAGAAATCAGTGAGAGCACCAGGGTTTGAAGCCGCGTCCAGCCAACGTCAAAACTCAACGTCCGCCCCAAAAGCCGCTCCCACTCCAGCCTCGGCTCATCTAGAAAAGCCAGCCCAGTGACCATCTGAAGCAGTCAACACCCCACGGCACATGCACGGCACGCAGCCGCACTGGCTGACTAAAGCTGCCTGTTGTCCCCAAACAGAGTGACATCACTGTTCAACCAGGCCTCCGATGGAAGCATCCTGGAGAAACACCATTCCTCTGGAAACACCCTTCCCGCCCTCACGCTGTCTGGTTCGGAGACTCCTCTGTGGAGCGGCCAGTGGAGGGCAGCGAGTCGACTGCAGGGTGGCCTGCTGGAGGGGAAGCACTCCTTACTTCCCGTCAGCCAGCATGAAGCAGCCTGGCAGAGGCAGGCCGGCCACAGTGTGGCCCTGCGAGCAGGGGGCTCGCTGCACACCGGGCACTGGGATCAGTCACTCCAGGGACGGGCTTCCACGGGCCCCCTTTCAGAGCACCCCAATCTTCTCTGACAACAGGGAAGTGCTTTGTCCCCCTGCCCTGCCGACCGGCACCACCTGCTTCTCATCCCTGTGGCTCGGGGGCCAGGCAGCAGCTTGAGTAGCCGCCTCCCAGGAGAGCACGTGATCTACCTGCCTTGTGAGCCACCCTTGGGCCGGGGTACAGCCCCTGCTCTGCGCTCGGGCTGTGGAGAGCAGCTGGGGTTTCCAACCAGCAACTGGCACTGAATAAATAGAGGAGGAAAAATGAGCCCTGTTACCCGAAGTCTGAGGCCTGGTTAGTTAAGGAAGGAGTTTAAGGGAGAATTATGTCCATCTCAAAAATGAAATGTAGAAATGGCACAGTGCTGTGGCCTCCAGGATTATTTCTTAGAAGGTGTTTTTTCAGATGTTAGGTAAGTTATTGACTGTCTCAGAAGGGGTGAAAGGCAATCGCTCTCCACAAAGGAAGGTTTCCGGCAAGAGCAGAGAGCACTGAGCTCAGGGGCCGAGGGGCCTGGAAGCCTGGGTGCAGCTCCTCCAGAGACCGAGATGGCAGGGGCTCAGAAGCCTCGTGTGGAGAAGTCGTCTTTGACCAAACAGCCTCCCGGCTGGGACTCAGAGCAAGATTTCTGGTATCCAAGTCCTTGTCAGGGCATGGCTGCTTGCAAAGCAAGGAAACAGCATTGTTTCTTCGGGGCCTCGTATCCCGGTGATAGCTGGATCAAAGCCCGGGGCACAAAGACTGATGTATTAACCCACATTAAGGCTGGGAGCCACACTGGTTCCAAATGTGACCCTGGTGGCAGGGAGCTCACTGAGGCCTCTCTATGTGGCTGGGCCCACAGATGGGATCACCCCCAAGCTGCCTGGGAAACTATCATCAGAAGGACAGATAGCAGTTAGTACAGTCAGACACGGATTTTGCCCATCTCGGTCATCTGTAAGAATGGCAGATTGGATTGTTAGCTCCACGTGTGTTGGGGAGGCAGCAAGGCCACAGGCACATCCCCCCCGCCCCCGCCCCCAAGCTGACCAACTCCATTTCCGGGCGGGTTGACATCCAAGTGCAGGTTAAAGAAGAAGGCTTGCTTGCTTGCTTGGCTCTTTCTGGGACAAAGTCTGGGTCTCCTTGAGCTTACTCTGGTCCTCCCCTCAAATGGCCAAATTTAAGACACTGGCTGGGGCAGCTTCATTAACATAACAAAAACTACTCCCAAATGGGATTCTTAGAGTTCATTCTGAGGCACAGTGCCCTACCAGACAGATAGAACTGCCCCTGGGGTTGCTGAGGCTGAGAATCTTTACATGGCAGACGGCCTCCTCTTGCTCCTGATCCGCAAGTACAGGGGTTATGATGCCAACGCAAATCTGGAGGGAACAATTCCATCTACAACATCACTAAAGCCCTCTGCAGCGAATGCTCCACGTTTCAACTACAGGTACACACACAGTCATGGGAGCTTGTTGCAGCTAACTGAAGTTGAGTGGAACCTATTTTTCCATATTCTGAATGGCAGGGCAATGGAGCAGAGAAGGCAGGGGAAGGACTCATTGCTGGGGCACTGCTGACCTCTGCTGGTGGCCGAGGGCACAGCAGCAAGACTCTACAGCGGCTTCTGACTTCTGGCCCCCCTACGCTGACATTGCCTCATTCTGACTGCAGGAGCTCTGGGCTGAAGAGGCTGGAGGCTCCCCAAAGCTCTTACGAGCCCCTGGGAGGTGGGCAAGGCTCAGCCCAGGCGTTACTCACTGACAGAGGTGCCCTGGGTCACCAGCCTGGCCCCAGACCCCGAGGGAGGAGCAGGCCTGAGGCCCCAGGATCCGCAGCCCCATCTCTGTCCTTTTGGGGATATGAAGGTCAAACCCTCAGTCAGCTCTGGAGCAAGGACGGAGATCCCACAGGGATCAGGATTCCCTCGCTGACACAGCCGGGTGGAGTGAAGGCTCCCCACTTCCCACTGGGGCCCTTGGCCTGCCTGGCTGGCCTCCAGGCCGACCCACCCAATTAACTGAAAGTGGGTGACTACAGGGCGTCCCGTGAAGCGTCCAGCAGCAGAGCAGGGAGTCCTGTGAGGGAAGGCTAAAAAGGACACTGGGGTTTAAGGGTAGGCCATGGGGTCAGAAGCACCAATTCCCCAGCTAAAGCATCCACCTGCGCTGACCTGGGCGGAGCTAATCCATCGCCACAAACCTCAGTTTCCTCAACTCTAAAATTCGGACAAGCAGCACGGGAGGGGAGGAAGGGGGTGCCACAGGCGTTTAGGTGCTCCACTGGCCTGCGTCCTCCTCGGAAGAAAGGCCTGCTTCCAGAAGCCACGGGCCTGGAAACCCTTCGGAGCAGCTCCACTGGCACGCAGGGGTGGGGGTCAGTCGGCAGCTGGCTCGGCGTGGGGTGTTTTGCTTGGGCTTCTTTGCAGCGTGGCAGGGAGGAGATGAGAGAGCTGTGCTGCTGAATCCAGGCCCAGCCCACGCATCACCTCCCAATGATGGTCACCCTCATCAGTCACTGTACAAACTGTCACAGCACCACCTGGGGGCCTACACTCGACCCTGCCCACCCTTCACCAGCCCCACACCTGCTGCTGCCTGCACCCGGGTGCCCTGCGCTCCCATCCGTCCCCCAGCCACCCTGCTAGCCTCGGGTGGGCTCCTCTCTTATCCTTTAGGGCCCAGCTGGAACCTCAGGGCCAAGGAGTCCTCCTCACCCTTTCTCATGGGTCCCTCACCCTTCTCTGACCACAGCTGCATCACCCCCGTCACCTGCTTTTGAGTGGCACCCCCTTCCTCCCCTCCAGTGTTAGTGATATCCCAACCGCGGACCCTGTGAGCATGCCCTTGTCTGGTCCCTTCCACCAGAGCAAGTCCCTTTTCCGCTGAAGGTCAGTTCCCTCATCTTAAAAGAGAAAGACAACCAAAAGAAAGGGGGAAGACGAGGTGCAGCAGACTCAGACGGGGCCGTTGTGGGAAACAGACCGGGAAGAGAGTGCATGCGGACAAACTCACCACACTATCCAGTAAGGAGTCTGGTAGGCCGGGGCTCGTGGACGGGGGGCCTTCACGTTCGTCAGTTGGAAATGCATTCCAGTCACATTCCCTAAGTAAAAGCCACTCCCCTCAAGGTCCCCCCATACCAATGCCAAATTTAAGGTGCTGCTTGCAAACACGTGGTCACTCACTATACTTTTGAAGGTACTCTTGAAGGTCAACTGCTTGAAGGATATCGGCCTAAAGGTTACCTGCCATCAAAAGCAGTCAGACCATCTAACCCTGAGTATGGCCCTCCCTTCTGATAAGGATCACAGATTGTTCCCTGGAGAAGAGCTCAGGGGCACCTTTGGTCAAGCCCTCTCAGAGAGGACCAAGGTTAGGCTGCCACCTTGACTCCAGGACCCACCCATCTGGTTATGTATGTACCTTCCTGTCACATGTATGTCTCTAGTGCCTCCCTTTCCTATTGCATGTACACCCCTAGCTCGGCCCCTTCATGTCACGTGTATGCCTCTCACACAACCCCCTCCTGTTACATATATGCTTACCATGGCTTGCATGTCTGAAATTATATAAGCTCGTGAGAATACATAACACTCTCTCTCTCTGCTCGGACCTGGTTCCTGAAGCCTTGGCGGAGGTGAGCCCTTGCACGCCTTGTTATGTGTCCCTTTAATTTACCCCTCCATTGCACAACCTCCCCTTGGACCCGTTCAATTGTAGAGGCTGGTCCCCCGCAGCCAGTGACTTCCAAACGGTGACAAGAACTCAAGGTTCCTTGGAGATGACTCAGCGACCAGCCTAGACAGGGCAAGGCTGGGCTGCCAGAGACCCCGCCCCCTCCCCAGCTTCCCCTCAGAGCAGTGCCACTCGCACCTGCCTACACACTGTGGTAGTTGGATGGTTTTATGCCAGCTAAACCCTCCTGGCTAGGGGTGGAGGCAAACTCCTTCTTGAGGGTGTGGCCTTGTGTATGAGAGGGAGGGACTCTGGAAACAGCCTCTCTCGCCGCCACTGAGCCTTCCACCTCTCCGGACTTCGCTGGGACTCTGTGCCAGCCTCCAGGGGGGTGGTCCATGGGTGCCATCCGACCCTGAAAGCTGCCGCTGGATGCCCTGCCTGCTCCCACTGACCCCAGATCCACATGGCTCTGCACCCCTCAGCCAGCGGTCTCCTTGCTTCCTCTCTCCGCGTCATCAGCCTGCAGAGGGTCTGGCTAGTATCGGCGCTGTGGGCTTGAGTGGGACTGGGCTGGGGCGCCTTCTGGTCCTAGATGAGCATCCCTGGGTTGTCTCTCTAGACCGCCCAGTCTAACACACATACCCACCAAGGACTTTGTTCAGAAAACCAACAGGCTCACTGTGGGTCCTGGGCGTCCGTGCTGCGGCACCGAATCTGAGACACACTGAGTCTCTGGGACAAGACTCCCAGCCCTCTCCCCACCCCCCGCCCCCGAGAGTAGGGTGCCCCTACACTCCATCATGGAGCAGCCCCCAGCCCCTGCCATGCCCAGGCCCACCTCATTGAAGACAATCCTGGGCGGCTGCTTCGAAGGCTGCCTGACCGGTCTGACTGAGGTTTTCCATGTCCTCCCAAAGAAGTGGTGGTAGGTGACGTCAAACAAAGTCACCCGCAGATGGACCTCGACTTCCGACAGCCCTTCCTGAACGCCCTGTGGAAAAAAAGGAAGTCGGCCTGGAGAGTTCTCTCAAAACCAGAGGCCAATCTCCATTGGTTTGGGTCTCAGCACCTCAATATGAGGAATCCCACTCCCACTCCCACTCCTCCTGGTGGGATGAATAATCTGCCAGTGCTCAGCTCTCCGTGCATTCCCCTGGACACCTGGTCACAAGTCTAATCACATAGCACCAACACAGACAGGCTGGCTGTGAGGTAGACATGCCCTTCAGGACGCAGGCTGATGCTCCTGTGCTCCTGGCAGCCACCCTGTCACCATATGGAGCCAGGAGATGCAGGGAGAACACATCCAAGTGACATCACTTGCGAGCCTGGACCAAACCACACCTGAAGCCTTTCGGGCTGTGCTAATTTCAGTTAAGGGTGTTCATAAGTGAGCTCTCTCAAGGAAGCAACCAGACCACGGGCCTGATGGCCCACAGGAGCCACAGCCTCCTTTATAAAGCCTGAGATCAGAAGTATTAGATGGTGCCCAGCTACCACTACCAACTGCTCTGACCAGTAACACAATAGAAGGTTCTGGTCAGAATAGAAGGAAAATGTAGAACAAAATTCAAATTCTCAGAAGAAGACCAGACTTAAGAACTCATAGAGAGAAGAGGAGCCCCCGAGACTATCGACCTAAGACACCTTTTTAACCTGGAACCAAAGCCACTCCCAGAGGTCACCTTTCAGCCCAGTAACAGAGAGGCCTAGAATCAACTACAGGAGGCCAGATGGGCAGTGGGCCCCAATGCCAGGGTGGGAAGGCGAGGAGGGGCAGGACCCTGGGGGGCGGACGCTTAGGGGAGGCAGGGTGGCCATGGGGACAGTGCTGATGCAATGTGGGGACAGCAAGCAATGTCAGACAATCTGCGTGCAAAATGGTTGGCTGGGCAACCAATCTTCTGTGTAAACTTTCACCTACAGCACCATAAAAATGTCCAAGAACAAATGAATGAGCTTGCAGCTTCAACTGTCTTAGATGGGATTTTGGTCATCTGCATGTGACTGACTTCTCCCTGGTACAATCAGAAAATCCCAAATTCCAGCTTGCTCAGCTGATCTGCACAGAGACTAGGATGCTTGCGGGAAGGGCAGCGAGTTGAGAACAAGGGGCCCAGTCCCTGGCCAGACAAGCCCTTCCCCAGAGCTTTCCGGCTCATCGCCAGAGTGGGTTCCTCTGCTCCTCAGTCCCTGCTTGTGGTGTCCTCACTGTCTGCCCTGGGGCAAATGGTCCTTTGTCTCCCTGTCACTCACTCACGTAGCACCATATTTCCACGTCCACCCTGGGTACCTGCTCTGGGTTAAGATCTGTGCCAGGCACTTGAGCTAGCGTGGGACAAAGCAGACAAGACCCCAGTCCCCCGGGGACGGGAGGGGAAGGAGAGCAGGCTGCTCAGTCAGGATTGGAGAGACAGCGACAGGAAGGGGGGCTCAGGAAAAGCCCAGGTAAAAGGAACAACAAAAGAGGAGCCCTGGGATGGCCGGTGAGAAGCCTGCACGGCCTTGGTGGGTTGAACGAGGGGAGGAGGGGCAGTCAGGAGCACTCCCAGAGGCCTCAGTGGGTGGGCTGGGTGTGATGAGAAGCTAGGCTTTGGCTCCAGGTGAGGTGGGAGTTTAAGAAAAGCACTCTGGCCATCTGGAGATGGG